GCCACATGCCCTAAGCGCCGGTGTGCCGTTGCCCAATCTGTCTCCCCAGATCTGGCCGACACTTTCACACCAACCCCTCCAACGGCATTGCACTCCCCCTGGGATGCAGACCCCTCTCCAGCCTGCCCCCCACCATGCCACGCCAGGGCCGGCAGCTGCCACATAGATCTGTACACGTCCTTGCTCTCGTGCAGATCCCAAAGCACCCGATTGCCCAGCTGCCCCTTATAAGTGCGTGCCCCATCCGTGTTGGTGTTCACCCCAGCCTTGCCAAGCTTACGGAGGGAGATAAGGTTGGCCTTCAGGTCGGGGACGAAGAGAACGTCGTGCAGCACCACCCCGCTTGCCATCCGCTCCCTTAAACGCAGCTCGTCCCGCACCAGCCACCTTCAACATGTGTCCAGAGGCGGAGCACACTTCATTGATCGTGCAGCCTCGTACTTCGTCCAGCAGGTCCTTGCGCGGCGTCATCGTCCAAGCAGCGCCTGTGTCCAACACCCAATAGTCTAGGGGGTGCAGCTCTGCTCCAACTTTGGCAGAGGCGTCTCCTTGCTCCCCCTTGTCTCCCACATGGAAGAATTGGCCCGCGGTGCGCTCCTTCTTCTCTCTCTCCGCACCCGCCGTTGCCCTTCGGGTTGTTGTCGGACGAATCAGCGACCATGTTGGCGCCGTTTTTTCGGGTTCCTCCCGCGCGCCATCCTGGTGACGATTCGGGGGGGTCCATCCATCGGGTTTCTTATAGCACAAAAACCAGGGGTGCCCTTCCTTCTCACAATACCAGCAACTCCCTTTCATTTTGCCACCAGCACCCGACTTGCCCCCACGTCCAGATTTCGCACCGCGACCCCAACCGGTACCTCCTTGTTGGTCGTTGGAGTCGTCGTCTTTCTTTGCACCGCGTCCAGCACCACCGAAGCCACGTCCTCTGCCACGTCGGCTCCCTTGCATCCCGTAGCCGCTGCTGCCGTCGTCTCCACCCCTCAGTTGGCGGCGACGGAAGTCCTCCTCCAGAATCTTCGTCCGCACCCACTCGAGCGTCCACAAGCTCTGGTTCTGCGGCAGGCTCAATCCGCTCGTAAATTGAAGCCACGATTCCGGCAGCAGCGAGAGCATCTTCAAGCACTTGGTCTGCTCCGGGTAGGTGATTCCCGCGGTCGCCAACTTCGCGTAGAGGTCGCGCATCTTGTCCAGGACTGGTTGCACCGGCTCTCCCTCGCTCAGGCGAACGCGCGACAGCTCCCTCTCCAGCATCAACGTTGCGACAACGGAGGTCGGGGCGTGCAGCTCCTTCAACACGGTCCACGCCTTCGGACCGCATTCAACCTCCGGCAGCAGGTGCATGACGTGGTGACGCTGGTTCAGCTCCAAACTCTGCGACATCAAATAGTAGCCAGCCGAGGAGCGCTCGTCCCAATCTTCCTGCAGCGCGGGGTCACTCGGTCTAGGCTCCTCCCCAATCATTAGTTTCAGCAAACCGATCTGACGGAAATATAATTGCATTTTCCAGGCCCAATCATCATAGCCCTCACCATTAAACTTCTCGACGGTGAAGTTTTTCAGCACCTCCTTGACAAGCGAGCCCTGGTTTGTTCGCGCTCCCCTTGGCGCTGAAAGACCAGAATCTTGGCTGCCGCTACGATCTTGGGCTGAAGATTCACCAGCTCCCGCCGAGGTGTTGCCCGCCATAGCTACCTATAACGAGGATCACTATAACGCAGCTCTGATACCAGCTTGTTGGTGTAAGGGCCTAATAAACTCAAGCTATTAGGACTTAATCAAACTTAAAACCTCTCCTCGGGGTCACCTCCAAGGGTCCCTGGGTGCCTGGTACAAAACCAGCCCCTATCCTCGGGTCCGAGTTTGTAGAGAGAGGGATCAAGAAGGACTTAGTCAAAACAGCAAGAGTACCTTGAACGTCGCGCAGCGTGCCATGCAGACCGTCGATCGGATTAAGCTGAGAATTCGCTATATCGAAGCTCGCTCCAAGAGCTTTAAAAATGAGCCAAGTTGCCTCGCGAAAGGTTCTGCCATTACTAAGTTCTGGCTCAGACAGCGTTTGCCTAGCGTTGGAGTGCTAGCATACTAGCGTTGACTCGGGTAGCATTCTGCCGTCGAATAGCGCAGAAACGAAATTCCAGCGAGGAAGGAATTCGCTTGAATCAATTTTACTATATTCAGGTACAAACAGAGAAGGATTAAATAGTTCTAGCTAGCAAGGACCTTGGGAATCAACCTGGGAACAACCAGGGATGATCCCAAATAATTCCAAGCAACAGAACCAACCTGGCTGGACAAAATAGCAGGTGGTAGGTTGGTAAACAACCTCTGGTTCTGTTTTTCCAACCTGGGAAAAACAACAACCAGGTTCAGGTTCTAAAAACAGAACCTGTTTTGTCTTTGCCCAACCAGCCAAATGCTGGTTCCGCTGGTTTCCCCTGGCCTTGTAGCATGCAGATACAGACAAACAACATCCAACCTTCACCTAAATTGTACCCCTATAGTGCCTTCCCTGCTACACTATAGTTAACCAAACAAAACAGTACAATTTCGAGTTGGATAGAACTGAATCTGCGCAATCAACTCAACCGAACTGCAAAGCTTCCATCTTGGGTTCCTTTGCGAGCTCGTCCTTTCTGCTTGCACTGTTCATAGCGCGTACAATGTTGTGCCGAAGCGCACATTGCGCGAGTACCTGCAAATGCATCAAGCGAAAATTGCGAAAGCAAACAAACACACGAACATTCCATTCACACCCAAATGCATTCGCACACGCATACTCGTACAAACAGACGGCAGGATGTCGTGCAATGTAAATTTGCACCCAACAATCCTGCGGGATTAAAGTCCCTACCTGTAGCACGGAGCAGTCGAGAGTGTGGGCGCAGGCTTCGCTTCCCTCATCCCTGGGCGGCTTAGGACTGACAGACCCACTCGTAGAAGGGGTCTACGGATTCGTAGCCAGCTTCACACAGGCCGCACTCTTCTTTTCCTCCCTGACGCTAGCGCCAGACACAGCACTGACCCGAGCACACAGCCACATGATTCTGCCCCGGGATAGAACCACACTGCTTCACTCCTGGCTCACAGAGTGCGAGACAGCCCTACCCTCAGACGCACGCGACGTAGTTGACCAGGAGCGGCTCTCTCGGTCGGACATCAAGCTCCAGCACACACTGGGCCTGAAAGTACAGGGGAGTAGATACGCGGTTCAGGTCCAGGAGACGAGGCAAATGAGACTGAATCCACTCTCCGGGCACACACAGAGAATGTTCTCACTCACAGGCTACGGCACAGGGGACTGGCTGACGGCGGTCCCGGTAGCTTCCTCACGTCGCATCGGCCCGGTACACTTCAGCAACGCCGTGCGCTTCCGGTTAGGCCTCCCTTTCTCCACCCCGAAGAATTGTGACTGTGCAGACCGCACCGCTATCACAGACCCGCGCCTCCCCAACCACCTCTTCCGCTGTGGCACGGGGAAGCACCGCACGAATACTCATAATGAGCTTCGCGACGCTTGCATCAGCATGGCGCAAGACGCGGGGTTCATCGTGCACCGGGAAACAAATGTTTACTGCCCCATAGAGGAGCAGACAGCGGATTTCACCATGACAGACAGAAGCAGTGGGGCAGTTTGGGTGTGTGATGTGACAGTTACAGACCCTATTAGTACCAGGGACCCGGAGGCCAAGAAAGGCAGGGGATGGGCGGCCCGGGAGCAGGCGGATAAGAAGATCAAGCACTATGAGAACCTGCCAGAGACAGTCGGCTTCTTCCCCCTCGCCGTGGAGACCTACGGCTGCCCTTGTGCGGAGGTCCCTGTGTTCCTGAAACTCCTTGCAGACACGGCGGCTCGGCGATACTTCAACGCCGACTCCAAATCCTATCATGCCGCGAAGTTCCTGCACCAGTTCAGGCAGAGGTGGTCGGTTGCACTGCAGAGGGCCCAATCCATGGGGCTCATGATCAAGTTAGGAGAGGCAGCAGCTGCAGAGAACCCGCCTGTAGGAGGGATAGGGCAAGAATTGTACCTAGGGGACTGCTTTACCGTCCTAGAGCCTCTTCTTGAGCTCTAGGTGACTTAGTGGGGTTTGGATAATATAGGCTACCTTGCATGATAGTACCTGCTGTCTCTCATTGCATGTGTGTACCCTTCTGGCTTATCAATATACGGACCATTAGAGAGAGAGAGAGAGAGGCTTAGCCTCTGCCCTCTGCCCTTAGCCTCTGCCCTCGTTTTCCTAGGTACTTAAGAGGCTGCCCCGGTAGACCCGTGGGAACCCAGCCTCGGGGACCTCTGGCAGGTCCTTGAGGATGGGCTGGACTGGGGGCCGGTCCTGGATGGGTGAGGGGGTACAGGGCCTGGAGGGAAAGGACACAGCAGGCCGCACTAGGGGGCCTCTCGGCTGGGCTGGCCACGTATGAGGCGGACCTTACAGGAGGGGGCGGGACGGCTGGTTGATGATAGGGATGCTAGGCTACATGCTGGCCAGCCAATCACCTAGATTACTTGCTTGTCAAGCTATGTTGCATGCCTAGAGATGGTTTGTTAGGCTCTTGCACTTGCCTTGGTTGTACCCCATTGTCATATCAATGAAGGACCGCTTGAGACAGAGAGAGAGAGAGAGAGAGAGAGAGAGAGAGAGAGAGAGAGAGAGAGAGAGAGAGAGAGAGAGAGAGAGAGAGAGAGAGAGAGAGAGAGAGAGAGAGAGAGAGATAATAGCCTCTTCCCTCTGCCCTTAGCCTCTGCCCTTAGCCTCTCGGCCCTACTTAAGGCCTTCCCTAGGCTGTTTCCTCATTGTTAGTTTGGCGGCTGAGAATTTTTCGCTCGCGTCGGCCGCCGAAGGCGGCCGACGCTCGACGGCGCGGCCTTCGGCCGCGCGTGAGGGAACGGCAAGTAGCCACACACAGAGCAGTTTAATAATAAGCAACATTACACGCATGGCAACTCCTACCGCGGCCTAGCCGTGCACTAGACTACATGGAGCAGCCGGGGAACGCGCCTACATGCGGTGAGCCCCAAGGGCATGAAGAATGCCCGTCAGGGAGCGCCAAAGCTCCCGGACCACGAGAGTGCTTGCGCCGATCGCCGCGGCTCCAGATCCTGCGTGCAAGTGTCGCCGCAGTCCACGGACAGCCTCGCCAAGCTGTCCCGCGGCAGCAGCGCCTCCCTCCGCGGGCGCAGCCAGCACGGGCGCCAGCAGCACCGCGAGCTGGTCAGCCGCGTCGAGGCACGGGTCACGCAGGTGGCTGCGAAAGGACTCGGGGGGGACAGCAGGAAGAGATGAGTGCGCAAGCACCTGAATCAGAAGCAGAGCATGCAGGCTCTCCGCGAGACGGTGGAGCTGACCAAGCGTTGTCTCGGGAACGCGCGTCTGCGGAGGCTGTAGAGCCGCCGCCAGGAACGGGAGCGACTCATCAGCTGCATACTGAGCCGCCGCCGCGCCACCACCCGCTGCCACGAACTCTACCCCCGCGACAGGCGGAACTGGCGGCAGATGCAGGCGGGAGCCGGGAGCCGGCGGGGCTACGGAAGGTGAAGGAGCGGACGGGGCAGGGACGAGAGGAGGAGGAGCAGCAGCCGGCGGAGGGACCTCAGGAGGGACAGGCGAACGGGGAGCCACGTGCTCCGGAGCAGCCCGCAGCGAACTGCTCTGGCTCGGCGCTGCCCTCCCCTGGCGCACGGCGCGCGACACCTCCCGTGACACTTCTCGCTGGAGGTCCGCCAGCGTCACGGGCGGACGATACCTCCCGCCTCCACTGCGCCCCTGGGGACCCCGCCAACCCCCATTGCCACCTGGGTGAGCTGGCCACGGGGCCTGCTGCTGGTAGCGCCGGGGGGAGTTACGCCGGCGCCGCGACGTCTCGCGCTCCTGCGGAGGCGCCGGGGAATGGGGCCGGGACAAGCGGCGGTCAGGCGACTGGGGACGAGACGGCTGGACAACTGGAGTCGCCGGCGGTTGAACAGGCGGAGGCTGATCCGCGCCCGGAGGGGCAACCACCGAGGCCGGGCCGCCAGTGGTGGCGGACGCCGCCCTCGGCGAAGACGCAGACGCCGGCGCAGGCACGCCGAGGACAGCAACGCCAGGTGCAACGGGAGCGCCAGGCACAGGGACAGGAGGAACGGCGGCCTCTCCGGCAGGGGCAGACGTCGCCAGCGGCACGACAGGAACGTCGAGAACAGGGGGAGCAGGCGCAACAGGCGGAGCGGTTGGAGCAACACTCGGGCAGACGGCTCAACCACGTTCGCGACAAGAGGGAGTGCGGATTCGAGGAGAGGAGTCTTTTCAGCGACTACTAGGCCGGGCGTCGGAGCAGACAGCGGCGGGGAGCCCGTCGCCACGGTCCCCGCTCCTGAGGCAGACGACGGCTTTCCGAGTACAACCGACGCTGCGTCAGCGCGCATTGGCGAGTAATCGGTCACACCAGCAATCACCATCGCGAGGCCGGGGAGCGCGTGGCGAAGGGCGAGAAGCAGTGAGCGGACGGGGAGGAGGGCCAGAGAATGGCTATCAGAGGGAGGCCAGCAGGGCTTTAATCAGGCTACGTAATGAAGAAGAAGAAAATGACCCCTCTTATAGTGAGGAGCCAACTCCCTTGAGTGAGGAAGAAGGGACGGAAGCAGAGGAAGGAGTAGAGGAGAACGGGAGAAGGACGGGAGCGAGACCAAGGCGGTCCCTAGGCGAGGAAGGGATCACTGCGGCTGGACCGTCCGATGGCGATCGTACGGGCGAAATTCCAACCGTACCTTCACAAGGGAGGACGGGCCGCACCAGGAGAAATCGGGCCGCGACGGACACGGCAGCGGTGCGAGAAATTCCCAATCTCCCTCGCTATTTTACGCCAGAGGAGTTGGCGACGCGGGCAGACTTGTTCGCTGACATCGCCAACTGGGATATCCCAGCCCTCTGCGACAGCCGGCAACCGTCCCTGGCAAGGCGGTTACCGCCCAATTTGTGCCAGCTGTTTTCGCTGACGCTGCTGACCCCGTTACTCCACCTGTCGCGAAACCCGGAAGCAGAGGCAGGTTGGCGCCTTCTGCTTTTCCTGCCACGACTGACGCTTCGCCAGACCTCGCCACGGAAACCGAACTGGCCCCAGATCAAGGCCCGGCTCCGAGCCTTTCAACGTGGCGAGTGGGACCAACTGTACAAGGACGCGATCGAAGCGGTCAACACTCCCGCACCTCCACGTCACCAGCCTGACGAAACTGGGGTTATCAGCCGGGCCGAGGGCCTGGCGAAACGGGGTAGCCTGCGACGCGCTGTGCTGGCGTTGGAGTCAACGCCAGTCTGCAAACCAACTCCAGAAATTCTGGAGGAGCTTCGACAGAAACATCCGCCAGCCGAGTCAGGACAGACGACGTGGCCACCCACACCTGAGTCAAAATTGTCCATCACCCACGCTGACTTCGCCAAACTGTTGGGGAGGTGCGAAAACGGGGTCGGTGCCGGGCCTTCGGGAACGACATTCGAGCACATGCGCGACGCGGCAATCACGAACGGACGAGTTAGCACCCATCTGCACGCCTTGGTAAACACCATTTTGGGGGGCAACCTCCCAGCACCGGTGGCGGACCTATTGACAGCTTCGCGCCTCATAGCTCTGGCCAAACCTGGTGGGGGGGCTCGACCTATCGCCATCGGCGAATGTATCACTCGGCTGACAGCCAAAGCAGCCCTCGCAGCCATGGGAGATGCCGCGCGTGCCTTTTTCCTGCCTCTACAGTACGGCGTGGCTGTGCCAGGAGGAGCCGAGGCAGTTATACACGTGGCACGCGCGTATCTGGACAAGCTACCCAACAGCCTCGTGCTGCAAACTGACATCTCAAATGCTTTCAACAGCATTTCACGACAGGCCATCGCGACAGCGTTACAAGGACCGGAGTTGTCGCCACTACTGCCGCTGGTGAAACTGACCTACGGTAACCCGTCGAAATTACTCGTCGATGCGAATTTTGCATCGGACCCACTGATCAGTGAACGGGGCGTGCGTCAAGGGGACCCACTTGGCCCTCTACTGTTTGCCGCGGGAATGCACACGGCACTCCGTGACACTGCTGCAGCATACCCCCAGGTGCTGTGTCTGGCATATGCCGACGATGTCACATTCCTGGGGGAGGCGACTGCCACTGTAGCAGCTTTCAATCACTTCACCGGGAAGCTGGCACACCTGGGGCTGAGACACAATGCGCAGAAATGCGCGGCCTGGAGCAGGGAAGCAGCAGCGAAGGATCGATTGCCGCACGGAGTACCTTTTTCCCAGGAAGGAGTTCGCTTGCTCGGAAGCTTCGTGGGGCCTGATAGTGGGGCGTCGCAGTTCCTGTCGGGTCAGCTGCAGGAGATGGCCAAACCTCTGCCACTGCTTGAGAAAGCCGACCCACAGGTAGCCTCGTTATTGCTCACCCGCTGCATTTCGAGGCGCGTGGCATACCTCACCAGAACAACACCGCTTTCCCTTCTGCCTCGCGACACCTGGAGCCAGTGGGGGACAGACCTGCTAGCGGCACTGCTCACAGCCTGCCACATTCGCGTCCCCACCTGCCGTACTGAGCAAGCACGTGTCTGGGCGCAGGCGTCTCTGCCGCCGTCCTTGGGAGGGATAGGTATCACCGACCCGCTAGTCGAGGGAGTTTACGGGTACGCCGCGAGCTTCACGCAAGCGGCGCTTTTCATAGCATCACTAGACGGCGCCCCTGAGGGCGCGCTGGCGCAGGCGCGGGACCACATGCAGCTGCCCGCGGACGCCGCCACGCCCCTTCACACGTGGCTGTCGGAGTGTGAAGCGGCGTTACCTGACGATGCGCGAGAAATCCTGGAGAAAGAACGGCTGGAGCGAACTGACACGAGGCTCCAGCACGCGTTGGCGCTAAGGGTGCATGGGAGCAGATACGCGGTGCAAGTGCAGGCGACGCGGGAGATGGCGGTGAACCCCTTGTGCGGGCATACTCAGCGGATGTACTCACTGACTGGGTACGGGACCGGGGATTGGCTGACCGCTATCCCGATTGCGGCCAACAGGAGGATAGGGCCCACTCACTTTTCCAATGCCGTCCGTTTTCGGCTGGCCCTTCCCTTCTCTACGCCGAAGAACTGTGACTGTATGGACCACACGGCCATCACAGACCCCCGCCTCCCGAACCACCTACTCCGCTGCGGCACGGGCAAGCATTGTTGGTGTAAGGGCCTAATAAACTCAAGCTATTAGGACTTAATCAAACTTAAAACCTCTCCTCGGGGTCACCTCCAAGGGTCCCTGGGTGCCTGGTACAAGACCAGCCCCTATCCTCGGGTCCGAGTTTGTAGAGAGAGGGATCAAGAAGGACTTAGTCAAAACAGCAAGAGTACCTTGAACGTCGCGCAGCGTGCCGTGCAGACCGTCGGTCGGATTAAGCTGAGAATTCGCTATATCGAAGCTCGCTCCAAGAGCTTTAAAATGAGCCAAGTTGCCTCGCGAAAAGTTCTGCCATTACTAAGTTATGGCTCGGACAGCGTTTGCCTAGCGTTGGAGTGCTAGCATACTAGCGTTGACTCGGGTAGCATTCCGCCGTCGGATAGCGCAGAAACGAAATTCCAGCGAGGAAGGAATTCGCTTGAATCAATTTGACTATATTCAGGTACAAACAGAGAAGGATTAAATAGTTCTAGCTAGCAAGGACCTTGGGAATCAACCTGGGAACAACCAGGGATGATCCCAAATAATTCCAAGCAACAGAACCAACCTGGCTGGACAAAATAGCAGGTGGTAGGTTGGTAAACAACCTCTGGTTCTGTTTTTCCAACCTGGGAAAACAACAACCAGGTTCAGGTTCTAAAAACAGAACCTGTTTTGTCTTTGCCCAACCAGCCAAATGCTGGTTCCGCTGGTTTCCCCTGGCCTTGTAGCATGCAGATACAGACAAACAACATCCAACCTTCACCTAAATTGTACCCCTATAGTGCCTTCCCTGCTACACTATAGTTAACCAAACAAAACAGTACAATTTCGAGTTGGATAGAACTGAATCTGCGCAATCAACTCAACCGAACTGCAAAGCTTCCATCTTGGGTTCCTTTGCGAGCTCGTCCTTTCTGCTTGCACTGTTCATAGCGCGTACAATGTTGTGCCGAAGCGCACATTGCGCGAGTACCTGCAAATGCATCAAGCGAAAATTGCGAAAGCAAACAAACACACGAACATTCCATTCACACCCAAATGCATTCGCACACGCATACTCGTACAAACAGACGGCAGGATGTCGTGCAATGTGCATTTGCACCCAACACACTCCCCCTCAGCCTGCCGGCTGCATCCCCGTCATTCCATGCTAGTTCATGCTCATTCCACTCATGCGCACACAACGCCAATGAGGCTCATCCGCAAGCCTCTTGGTGAGAAAGTCTGCTGGCTGCTGGTGAGTCTTGATGTAGATCGGATGCACCGTCCCCCTCTTCACCTCCTTACGCAGCCAGTGCCACTTGATACGCATGTGCTTGTTCAGGCCAATCTCCTCTAACAGCCTCCTCAGCCAAATCACCTCCTTCACCCCATGGAACATCGCCATGTACTCTGATTCTACGGAAGAGAGTGCCGTCTCCGTCTGCTTCTTGGACCTCCAACTAACAGGTCCTCCCCCAACTACGCAGATGTATCCTCCCACAGATGAGGAATCCTCCTTCTCAGAAGCCCACGTAGCATCGGTAAAGCAAGTGAGAAATAGCTTGCCTTCTCCAAGCCTCTCCCCCTTCTCTTTCAGCACCTCCACCCCTTTCTGCTTCACCTGTGCAGATGCGGAGTATTGAACTCCAATGCTTGGGTGAGAGTTCAGGTACTTCACCACACGCTCAGCTGCATCCACCTGCTCCTCTGATGGATTCTGCACCACCCTAGCCAGCTGCCCAACCGAGAAAGAGATGTCGGGCCTCGTGTGAACTGCTGCGTACAAGAGGCTGCCTACCAAGGACTGAAATTGCTGCTGCTCTTCAGCTTCAACCCCTTCATCCTCTGCAGCCTTCACAAGCTTGAATTCTGCTGGCAGGGGAGTTGCAACCTTGCGCTCATTCTCAATCCCATACTTCTCCCCCAGCTCCTTGATGAACTTCTCCTGGTGCAGCTTCAACCACCTGTGATCTGGATCCCTCTCCACGTGCATCCCGAGGTAGTACTTTACCTCCCCAAGGTTCTTGCACTTGAAGTTTTCCATCAGTTGCTGCTGCACTTTCTGGATCTCCTTCATGCTGCTGCTGAAGAGAAGAATGTCGTCCACATAGACCAGAAACAGCACCAGCTTCTCCCCCTCGCCCTTGAGAAAGAGGCTCTCATCACAGCTGCTGGTCCTGAATCCCATCTCCTCTAAAACAGCTGCCAACTTCTGGTACCAGCAGCGTGGCGCCTGCTTCAAGCCGTAGATGGACTTGTTGAGCTTGCACACCCTGCCCGTACCATCCTCATACCCAGGCG